ATTATAGTAAACGAAAAAAAAGTGACGTAATCGCTTGCATGGACGACCCGGGCAACGTGCGAATTCTCATGAAAAAGAAGAAACAAACTGCGAAGCTCCGCAATAGATTTCGATCGAGGAGGGCTCCACATTAGTCATCTTACTTCACAGTTACGATTTTACAAGTACTAATCTGAAGCCGTGCGTGCATCGTGCTTGCCAATCAATAACTGAAAATTAGTAGAGTGATTTAGTGTATTGCCCCAAATAAAGGCCCAAATTGGAGAAGTATCCATTGATTGACATATAGGGCCCGATTCCTATCCTCGCCAAGCGGAAAAGACGAAACTAATCTCCTACCAAAGATTTGATTTTCGGCGCTTGTGTCAGTCGACTGACACAAGATATCCACGCCGATTGTAATAGGTTCCTGCTCTACTCTGTAACCTAGTACGACTTGTGTGCAATTTTAAAAGCACACGTTTCCTCGGTTATCCGGGATCTCAGTTTAAGCGCAACATCCTAAGGTACCTCGAAAGTGTACGTATTACCATACTAATTTGAAGATAAAAGTAGGTAGAATTGGGTAAAAGTTTAGTTATCAGAACAACAAAAATAGTGGGGGAGAAAGAGGGAGAACGAAAGCTGTGATTTGGTGTTTGAAGAAGATAAACTCAAGAGACAGAAATCGTTTTCTCTCGGAGGGTAAGCTCATAGCTTTCTGTACATATCATATGTAGAAAAGGTAGTTCGATGTCCTTAAAAGATATTAGTTCCTGATAAATGTAATGTTACACCGTAACAGTTTTTGATGATGAGGCACCAAGTTCGCGTCGTTGTTGGAGACTGGGAACGAGGCGCTCAAGGCGCCTGGAGGTTCAACGTGGATAAAACCATGGTAAGAGCTGACGTCGAGCTTAAGGAGAACGAGAGCTTTGTCTCACTAGTGGGTATGGTGAGGGAGAAGTTCAACGTAGACCCACTGTATGGAGTCAACGCCCCCGTGCTGCTGACTTACCACTACCCCGACATTGAAGCAGAGTCTGAGGAGTACTCAGCACCACCCATCGAAATAAATGAGGACGAAGACGTCGCTGTGTTCATGGCTGTTAGGGTTGACAATGTGTGGCAGGAGCTGTATGTAACATTGGGTGGAGAGGATGTTTACAACTACAGGAGGCAGAGGGATGTTGAAGATGGAATAACCGCGTCTGAACAACAAATTCCAGCCAGCGGTTTAGTTAGTATCGAAGGTAAATTTATTTTTCCCTGTTAACGAGGTTGTTATCTGTAAAGGTATGTTGTATCTGAAGAGTATGTATCAGCTAAAATAAATAGTTTAGGTAAACGTTATGTTAGCAGGTAAACAATATATGTATCGGGTAAAATCTTTGGTAACTGGTACGATGTATTTTAACAAACTAGCGAATACATATATTAACTGACAACAGTCATTGTTGGTAGATAACTGATATGCTTTATTTTTACAGATTTGACTGCGAGAGGGTACCTGGTTGTGTACGGGGAAATACTTAGGGGAATATGCACTGCTGATGAAATGAGCATACTGGAGCAAACGGCACTTGGGTGTGGCGCAAATGATTTACAGCTTGACCCGACGATGACAGTAAACTTAGACTCTTCAGAGGGCTCTTCTGGCATCCCTCTTACCCAGGCGGGCGCACTAATAACAGGTTGTGATTTAAGAGGATCAGAGGAAACGACCCTGGAAGTTCAAACTGAAGATTTCACCTTCGCGTTAGGTAAGAGTATTTTATTACATGATAAAGATCATATTATATGTTAAGGAGTTACGTTTCGGTAACCGGAAGGTGTAAACACTATTTAATAGGGGCAACGGGTAATGAAGTGGAGGAGATAATACGGGATAAGGGAAAGGGAGTAATGCTGAGTGATGAGGCGGTAGAGAGACCAATTCAAATTGGAGGTTTCTCAAACTTTCAATTTGGAGATCACCTGCTGACTGAAGAAAATGCACCCAATATGAGTAATCATCTTAACGTTAACAGAATTATTTTCCGTTACTGAATTAGTTACCCATCAAAACAAAAGTTATGCGATAACATATGCATTTTCAGGTACTGGTTCAGCGACACAGCTTTCGCTGGCATTGGGTGTCGACGACTCTGTTGCTGAGGATGACGCTTCATTGCACTGGATGAGAAACTTGAGTGAAGAATTTGACGAGGCGGGGGGTAGCGGAGGTCATAGAAAGTTCATTCAAGGAAAAAATACTATCAGGCAACAACATAGTGGTACTGAAGTTGGAGGTATGAAAATGTTTTTTAAGTTTGAGGATGAAATGATACATTGTTGAAATACAATGCTTTGCTATGAAAAGTACTTAGGTTACGGTTAAAATGTAAAGTAGTGGAAACATACAATATTTACCGAAAACAAACGGATTACCTGTAAATTTAGTATGATGAGCTGAATACCATTTTATTTGTGCTTATCAGGACGTGTGGCAGATGATACAACATGAGAGCTTTTTGTGGGGAAGATATTTGAGAGCAGAGAAGCCTTCAAACTCCATATGACCCTACATGCAATCACAAACAAGTTTAGGTTCCTCATCAAGAAGTCAGAGCCGGGGAAAATGGTACTACAATGTAGGGGAGCAGCGTGTGCATGAAGAGTGTATGCGGCGAAGATGGGAGGGTCTGCAAGCTTCGAGGTGAGGACTTTAGATAACATCCACACGTGTTCGGTTGCTGATCGGTGGGAGTTCCGACACCATGCAAATTCCAAGTTTGTTGGAGATATGATTAAGCATAGGTATGGTCCTGCCGCTGGTGTTGGATCAAGACCAGGAGCTATTAGGGACATAATAAGGCACGATCACAGCGTCCCAATCTCTTACTGGAAGGCTTGGAGGTCACGGGAGCTAGCAATTAACCAAGGAGTGGGTGACGCGGTGGCGTCATACCAAAGCCTACCATCCTATCTGCAAATGTTGCAGACTACTAACCCAGCGACTGTGGTGGCGTTGGAGACAACAATAGCGCCCGAAGGTGCGCAGCGGTTCAAGTACCTCTTCTTCGCCTTTGGCTCAAGCATAGAAGGGTACCCTTTCATGAGGAAGGTGGTGATTATTGATGGGACACACCTAAAGGGAAAGTATGGTGGATTTCTTCTGACTGCTAGTGCCCAAGACGGAAACTACCACATTTACCCCATCGGATTTGGTATAGTGGATAGCGAAAATGATGAGGCTTGGACATGGTTTTTCCGACAACTATTGGCTGTAGTCCCGGACTCTGAGGGACTAGTATTTGTCTCTGATCGTCACAATTCAATCTACGCCGGGATAAGACGGGTTAGTCAATTATTGCTTATCATGCATTAGACAATAGAAATCGAAGTTATTATTATTCTTTACCGTTAATTAGAAAGTTTCTCGTTGTTTACAATTTTAACGGAAAAGAGAAAAAATTACTGATTATGTTTTTGTATATGATTTAGGTTTACCCAATGTCTCAGCACTGCGCCTGTATTCTGCATCTTCAAAGAAACGTTCAAACAATATTCAAAAAGAAACACCTGATTTACCTGATAGGAAGAGCTGCAAGGACTTATAAGATATAGGACTTCTATGTCCACTTCAATGAAATCAAGCAGTTGGACATTGCATGCGCAGACTATCTTATTCGAGTCGGTCTTGAGCACTGGGCGAGGGCTCACTTTGAGGGAGAAAGGTACAACATCATGACAAGTAACCTAGCCGAGTCACTGAATGCAGCATTGGCGGAAGCACGAGCATACCCGATTGTAGCTCTTTTGGAGTACATAAGGACCATGATGATGGGTTGGTTCTCTTCTAGGCGTGAGGCCGCAAACGCAAACACAAACGAGGTAACACCTAAGGTAACGGCAATGTTGGCGCGTAACTTCCAATTCTCAACGGGTTTCAATGTCCGTCATATCATTGAAGAGGAGTATGAAGTCCGCGATAGCTTGGGGATGTTTTACCGTGTTGATCTGAAGAGGAAGAGCTGCTCATGCAAGGAATTTGATAAGCTCCGGCTACCTTGTGTGCACGCACTTGCTGCTGCGCTTAACCGAGCTCATAAGGTGGAAGACTTATTGGCGCAAGAGTACATCAGCGTTTACTGGAAGAAGGCCTATGCAGGTGGCATAAACCCCGTGAGCATTAACCATGTCAACATAGGTGGTTCAGACTCCTTCAAACTGCTCCCGCCCAACACACGCAGGCCTCCAGGACGGCCAAGGAAGAGCAAGATACTATCCGCCGGAGAAATAAGGGTGAGGAGTAGAAAACAATTCAATATTTAACCGCGAAGATTCTTATTAACTGCTAAAACTAATTTTTTCAGTCATCTGGTCGTTTCAAGAGGAAGAGGACTTGCACGAGATGTGGTGGGGTGGATCATAACCGCGCCACTTGTAAAATGCCCATATAAGAAGGGAAGTGATCGGTAGTAAGAGGAGCAACGGATGGTAGGATGGTCTTTTGTAGGTCTGATCTGGGGCGACCTTTTATTTTGCTATGTATTATGTTAAACATGTTCCCCAAAGCTCTCCCTTGTTGACAAAATATGTGTAGATCGATAAGGGAGGAGAAAAATGTTGCCCTCTAATTTAATATCCGGAACCTGAACTATTCGTATCAGTAATGAAGTTGGGTAACCGGTAAAATGATTTTTAGTAGTTAATATTTTAATGTTTTGCGGAAAACAAATAGCTTATATTAGGTGACTTGTGAAAATGAAGACCAAAAATAGTGGAGGAAGTAACCGAGATGTCACTCTATATTGAGCAAGTGTAGTGGATCATAAAGGACTGATTAGCTATATCTCTGAATTAAAATTAACAGTTAAAACTTGTGGTGTACGAAATATATGAGTGATAAATAAGGAAATAGATTAAACAAATCCAAATAAAACACAAATAAGTATGAAGGTCTACAATGGGAAGGGAAATGTTTAAGAACATATTTTACATCAAGCTAGTAGTCGTAAAGAAGTTGGAGATGACTATTAGGATTGATGTTGCTGCTGATTAAGAGGTTGGTTTTTGGTAATGAACCGGTAAAACTTCAGACATAGCTGCTTAGCCGCATCAGGGAGCACCTGCGGGGTTAGGAATTTGCAAGCTTCCAATCCCTTCTGGCAGTGTGCATCAACGTAAAGACAAGTGAGGGCCCCATCATCGGTTAGCGAGGCTGCCTGGGGTTTATGAATAATATAGAAGAAATACAGGAATTAGTTTTGTTAACGGTAAAGAATACTGTTAACTGTAAATTATATATGTTAGCGGAAAGAGTTTGAAAGTCGTTGATGGCGAGTACAGAGTAATTACCTGTGGAAGTACCTTAGGCCTACTGATGGTGAATGGCTTGATGTTATCAGCGATAGAGTCAGGATTCCATGCTTTGATGATATAGGGAAGCATGTTGGCAAATGGATTGAGCTCCTTCTTGATCATAGCCTCCGTCTTCAAGGTGACGTTGCAATCGAGAACTTGTATATCCCACGCTTTATGTCCACAACCACCGCCATCCAGTGTAACGGCTCAACATAGAGAGGGAAATAGATAAAGTCTACCGGGTTATCTCGGACACGCTGAATCACATCATCAGTGAACTTAAATTTCGGACGCAACTGCACACCCATCTTGACGAACTTTGGGTAGATGTTCTTAATAGCAGTAGGGAGGCTCATGTCGAAGACTTTGATAGACTTACCGGGAACTTCGTGCTCAACAGCCAGGAAGCGCATTATAGTGTTCACCGTCTGCAGAAATATAATGTTATTATATAACACTATACTTTCATATGTAGATGGGAGTAAAAGATTGAGTGTTACCAGAGGAGACATTCTACTTTTCCTAAAAGCAATGTCCACAAACTCGGCACCATTCAGAGCGGATGGACCATCCAAGTGGATAAACCTAGAAAATAATTAAACATGTTTAAACATTTTATTTTCGGATAAATAAAATGTTGGCAGGTAAGATGAATATTTCCAGTAAATAGTCGAAGTACACTAACCCCGTGGGTAAAATACGCTGCCTCATCTTGTCGAACAATTTGTGAAGATCGGGAAGGACGCGGAATCCAGGCTTACTCTTGGGGTCTAGCTAATAGTCTTGTAAAGCAGTTGGGGGGATTGTTTGTCTTTGGGCTCTTAGTGTGTCCAGTGTGCCGGATGATTGCCCAGTGGGAGGTAGCACAACGGTAAGTGGAGCAGGCTGAAGAACACGCTCTAATGCCTCTAATTGGGTGAGGCCAATAGAAAAAGAGGGAGGCTCAATATCCATCTGAGATGATTCCCCCTATGACAATGTAAGATCATATACAATTAGAATTGAGATCAGGATAACAATATTAGTAGATGAGTCATTACATGTATTGCTTCTGAGGTACTTGTTCCCATAGTAGTCGCCAGCGTCATTGACCATTGCTCCAATTTCTGAAAACATCAGCATTATAGTGGTCAGATATACCAGGTAACGAAATTGTTGTATGTTAACATAATTTTTAACGGGCAAACTATTAAGTAAACGCTAAATCAATATTTTCCCTGAAACCTTATCAGAGATGGCTTCTGCGTTAATGGGATCCATAGAAGGGTGGTCTCTGAGTGACTGATTATTGACATTTCCAGAAGGATCAACCTGTATTAGTGGTGGAGTTAGAAGCTTATGTTAGTGAAAAAGGTTATGTCAAACTGGGGGATAAGGATTACCATGGATGGACCAGTTGTGACAGCAGGGATTGTCGTGCCAGATGTTGATTCGGCTTCATGGTTGGAGGGGGATTTATTACCAGCATCCTACGTCATGAATGGTTGTAGAATAATGAGTAGATATAATTTTGTAAAGACAGCAAATTCTTAAAATTACGGGGAAAACATTTATTAGCTATTATCAGAGGGTTTAGCAGATAACCTCCGTGGTCAGAATCTCTGTTCTCTCGTGCTCTGGAGGGGCTTTTGTGTTGGCATCTTACTGAGAGACATTCCCGTCTACATTTGCCTGCTATGATAGGGTGATTGGTATGTGTTAAGGGGTAGAAAGTAATTAATTAATTGAAGATAAAATTTCGCGAACCTCTTGATTGTGTGATGATGCTTGAAGGTCATCTAAAATACGCCTGATCGACTGGTTAACAAGAGGTTGAAGATCGTCAACGGCCATCTTTTCAGCGCCTTCTTGATCAGGCGCGTCCCCATGTCCACTCAACGTAGGGCTTGCTGTGTTTGGGGGATGGCGTGGTGGGACGTCTGAAATGCTAGGCGTTGAAGATGTTGTCTTTTTCAAGTAATCTATAATGGCCTTTATAACCCCCCTTTTCATCGAATGGATGTTGTCTACAACACATTTGGTTAGTCTTGTCTCCATAGCCTTCATTTTGGACTGTAATTGTTGGTCCACGGCCTTAGCTATGCGAGACTCCACAGAGGCAAATTCTTCCTGAATCTTCCATGAGACGATGTTGGCAATCGGATCAACATCACCTTGGCGCGGCGGCGGAAGCTCTGATTGATCACCCATATCAGCTGGAACTTGTTTGTGTTTAGGCTGTTTACCCTTCTGTTTATGTCCCCTTAGCTTCTGAAGCTCGCTAGAAGTTATACCTCCCTTGAACATCTTGTTATCAAATATGAACCCTTCATTGATGAGCTTCACCATATTATCTACTGTGGGATCATCTTCTTCGTCGGGCCATGAGAAGTCATGTTGTAGATACCACTCCTCGTCAGGGTCGCTCAGTATTGATCTAACAGCCACCTACGTAAACGTAATATAATCACCGTACATGTTTGCTGGCAATAATGATTTTATCAGGAAAATGCTTCAGTAATCGTTAAGAGTGATATTTACGGTTACTTGCTTTATTTACAGGTAAATTTTGAATTTACGCCTGATGACCAAAATATCTTTACTAACCGAGGATTAATTACTAATACTTTACACAGGGATGAGAATCTATACCGTAATAGAAAACGATTAATACGCATTGGTATTCTATGTATTATCGGTAAACAAATGTTTTATCCGTAACAACTATTTTTTTACAGTAACAACATTATATGTGACACTAACCTGGCACTCTGAGTTGAGTTCTCTCGCATTGCGCGGGTTTACAACAAATTTCTGGGTAGATGGCAAATCCTCCGCATCCCCTTCCTCGACTACATGCGGTGCTTCCTCTTCCGCATCCATTTCACCCTCGCTTTCGGAAAGAGCAACAACAACGGGATCAGAGTGAACCACCTCTTCTTTCAAATCAGGAACATCGGCGATAAGAACCAGTTGAATGGCTTCAACATATCCCTTTAGGGCAAATGAATCTTGCGCTAGTGAGACTGCATCCTTCTGGAGTAAGTGATTAGCAAGATTTTGGAAGGAAGTCATTCCCCAAGGGAGAGCGAGGAACTCATCAAGATCTCTTATCATCTCAACGTGATCAGGGAGAATCTTCGGAGAGTGGGAGGTTGGGACTAGAATAGAAGCGGTTATTGCTAAAGACGCAATTTTGAGACGAGTATCCTTATCCTTAACCTTCCTTGTCTTCAGCATATCAACCACCGTATCCACGCTACAAGACTTTAGCGAGCCAAACAAGTCATTCCAATAAAGCTTCTCGTGTAGAGGATTCTTCCTTTTCTTACGCCTTGATTGTGGAACCCTATCACAGTTGAGGCCGGTGACGATTGCAAACTCTCTAAGAGAGATCCTTATTGGGTATCCAGCAAAAACAAGCCAAATTTCGTACAGCTTGCGGGTCTTCAACATACGAACACAGACAAAGTGACAGAACGCGCCGGAGAAAGGAGGATTATCATCGACATAGAGGACCTTCGAGAATTGAGTTCGGTGGAAAAAGGCTAACTCGTCTTCGTCTAATGCTTCAATTAGTTGCTCTGTTCTTCGATACTTGTGGTAGGAGACGACTCGGTCCCCTACTGGTTCATCACCACAAGCAAAAAAGCGTCTAGGAAGGTTGAGATCGGACATCGGAGGATTTTAAAGAACAAAGCCGGAAGTTTTTCCGTTTAAAATACAATATTGAAAGTAGTGGGAAGATGGGAAGTTGAATTGGAGAGGGAGGTTACTATTCGGAGTGGTGAGATAAATTTTTCAGTTACAGAAATTAAAGACGAAATTCAAATTTCAAAAAAAGAAAAGCATGCATTCGATTTTACTGGAAAAAAAAACGGTTGACGGGAAATAAATAACGCGTGGGTGGCGCTCTGACACATCTACCCGTAGGCGCGTAAGGCTACGAAAGTAGGCTAGGGAAACACGGAAGGGTAAAACCGTCCGACGAAAAGTATGTGTCAAATCAGGGTTAATTCCCTAATTATAGGTGGGAATTAGGGTACTTTAGCAAATTAACTCAAATTAGTATTCATATTCTAAGTTTTTTTTTTTTTTTTGTAAACTGGTATTCTATTTAAATAAAAGGGAAATAAATTTTACACTCCAAATCAGTTTGTTTTGGAAAGAAAAGAGTTAATGAAAAGCACAACGTAGTAAGTCCAAGGAAATTTTGGATCCAGAATTTTAATCATTGATGGAGATGGTCTTCCTTCACCAAAGAGTGCTGGAACATGCAAAAGAGTTGTGATTTCAATCAACAGCATACGATCAAACCATCATGATTTGTAGTTCAGTAAGTATCAGATGAAATAGAATCATAAATGATCAACCCATCGAGGAGCACGCTTCGAGAAGCAGATATTGGAGTAAGCCCAAGATTTGTTAAGAGGGGCAATCCGTGATCATGGTCGAAACCCATTCCTGATACATGCGACAAGCCAAGGAGGAAGTTACATCTCTTATCACCGAGATTTTGTTCCGAACTATTGAGTTAATAGTTGAGATGATAGGCTCCTCCGGCTTGAATTCATTTTGATGCAGTCTACTGTTTCTCTCAGCCCAAGTATAGTGTAACACATGTCACCTCCTACTTGGAGAACAACATGTTACCTCCGACGCGTCATCAAATAACAATATAACATCCGTCTCCCTTTCTTTAAGGACGAGGAGCCACCAACAATAATGAATAACATAAAAGCCATATTAACCCAACTACGCTCACCCAGCTCAAATAAAATCCGAAGAAAAAGCTCATTAGCACCAAGTCTGTCCAAATATCACTTTGTTGTTTGTCTTACCTAAAATGTAGAAGAAAGAGGGGTGAGAGACTAGAGAGTTAATGAGGTATGGGATGCTACCCCGAAATCTGTGGAACCGGACATAGCACTCTGAATAAATATCAATTAATTCTAATGCATGTCAACATGGTACCTAAAGTACCCAAACATCAAACAATGGTCCTAGCGAGGTACACACTCGCCGCCCACTCACGGGCCAAAAAAATTGCCCACACCTGGGTTACAACAACTCGAGATAGTGCTTGGACAGCGCCCGTAGACAATTTA